TGAGTGAGATGTTTCTGTGGGGCCTGGGTGGGGAGCAACAGGAGTCTAAGCTCTGCACCACCTTAAATTTGCTGTTTAATTAGTGTGGGAACAGCACGATTTTCTGTTCATGTCTATCAACAGCAAACTGTTAATGCCAGAGGAAGGAGAAAGATTGATTTTCAGAAGCACAGCTCTTCCTAGGAAATACCTGTGGGATAGTTCATCATCAGTGATACTTCTTGCCCAGAATACTTATGCTGAAGAGTTCAGCACAGCACTGAGGGTGTGCTGCTCACAAGACTGCTTGTCCAATATTTAAGCCAGGCTGCAGGGGATAAAACTCACCAATTATTGTGGTAGAAGACCTACTTAAGCATTTTCTTTCCCTTTTCTTCAACAATGGTTTGTTTGTTAGAAAACATTTTTTTTTTTGTACTGCTTTGTCTCAGGTGAGTACAAACAATCAGTGCTGTCCTTATACCAGAGTGTCTTATCTTTAGAAAGACATATAAGAGTCATATAAGGCAAAATAAAGTCCTGCTGAGGTGTCCTGTATGAGACATTTAGAGATGCTGACTGGCAAACTGTCTGCTCAGATGGAAATGACGCTAGTGGAACAAATCACTACTTGGAGGGAGGTAAAGTTTTAGTGAAATTAGATTTGTTTCCTTATGCCCTGGGAGCAAAGTTGGGGAGAGTGATGTGGGTGTTTCATTGCCATCTACTCCCCTAAGGGCAAGTTCTTGCACTAGGCCATCATGTGACAATGTGTCTCAACACATCGTGTGAAATGTGTGAGAAAAGACACACTGGTGCCCAGCTAACCAAGGCAGCCTCCCTCAACCTATGAATCATGGTAACAGAGGTAATTCCTTACAGTTTAGATGGATTTGTAAAGTAAGATTCCTTTTCCCATCTTTAATTCTTACCATGACCACATGAACAAATATCCTCTCCTCAGATGTTTCAGTCCCTAGTACACCTTGTCATCCTCCAGAAGAGCCCTTTGGTCCCTCTCCAGTAGCAGACAACCAGTGGGAGGGAGCCAACACGTTTACAAGCTGCTTTAAAGAAGGGGAAAATGTCACAGTGCTTAGATCAGCTCTGGTTTAAGCATCCCTAAAGGCCACAAAATCCTTTGAAGCTTTCTCTGCTCATGCTAAATACATGGATGTTGCAGTCATTTCCATCACAACAGCTAAGGTCCAGAAACCAAGATCAGGCTTTCTATGATAGATAAATAGAAGATCACCAATGGGCACTTGTTTGGATGCCCTTTTGTGCAGGGAGCCCAGTGCACTTCAGGCATACGACAGGAGGATGTTGGTGAGTAATTGGACATAAGGAAGAAAAAGAATGTTCATCTGGGTTTGATTCCCGTTTGCTCCTTGCCTGAGGGAATATGCAGTATCTTGTGAGTCTCTCCAACAAGAATACAAGGTGGATCAATTATGGAGCATGTTTTCTGGCCTGCCATGTAGATGCAACCACAGAGTTTTAAATAAGAGGGTTTATAAAGGTTAATGGAAGATTATTAATTTTTACCCTATAATATGCTGGCCTGACAGAATCTTCTGGTTAGAAGATTCTGTTCTGTTTGGTTAGATCTCTTTTTTTTCTGCTGACAGAGGAGAAGTGTTGATTTGGTCTTAGACAGGATGTCAGAAGGTCTGAGCACAGCTGACTACATGCTTCAAACCAAGTAACGGCATATATTATACCACCTGTTATACCACTCACAAGCAAAGAACAGTCTGTGTTTTTCAGGCTGTTCCCCAGATGCTGTTGAGTGTTTTAAGTTTTTGGTATTCATGACATACTCTTTGGTTAGTATTTGATTCATTCAAGTTGTTTTTCCACTGAGTGGCAAGAACAATACTTTCCAGTTTCGAGTCTTGAAAATACAACTTCAACATTTCTTTAAAAAGCCGATACTTGCTTAAAATATGCTGCGTCTGATAAAATGCCTGCCACTAACTCAGTATGGTAGAGCATTTGGAGAATGCTTTCTTCTGAAAAGCAAATTTAAGTGAGAGAAAGGGAATGAATAAAAGAAAAACAAACAAGCAAACAGAAAATCCCTACCTGTAACCTACTTTCAAAGATATTCTGAGTAGTTCTGGAATCATCTTAATTAGCACACATGGATTACTGGGGGCAACCTCACCAGGAGCTGAGAAAGCCCAAAAATCTGGATGTAGGAAGAAAGGCTAGATGCACAGTTTAGTGCTTTAGGAGATCCCAGTGCAGAAATCCATTACATTTTTATGTAATAGCCCCTTCAAGTTTATTCTTCAAGTTTGGGACACCATGCAAATCCAAATGTATGGTAAGTGGTAAGGAGAAAATTCACTCCTGGGGAACAGGCAGGCAGGACAACTGGCAGAAGGAGTTCATGGGACTGTTAGGAGGGTGATGGAAAATGCTGTACCTTCTTCAAATTACTTCACCCTTCCTCATTCCCCTTCCCCCTTGAAACACCAGATTCTTCCTTCCCTATTTGAATCATAGGATCATAGAACAGTTAGGGTTGGGAAGGACCTTAAGATCATCTAGGTCCAACCCCCCTGCCATGGGCAGGGACACCTCACACTAAACCATGCCACCCAAGGCCTCGTCCAACCTGGCCTTGAACACTGCCAGGGATGGAGCATTCACAGCATCCCTGGGCAACCCATTCCAGTGCCTCACCACCCTAATAAGAAAGCATTTCTTCCTTATAATCTATCTAAACCCCCCCTGTTTAAGTTTGAACCCATAACCCCTTGTCCTGTCTCTACAGTCCCTAATGAAGAGTCCCTCCCCAGCATCCCTATAGGCCCCTTTCAGATACTGGAAGGCTGCTATGAGGTCTCCACGCAGCCTTCTCTTCTCCAGGCTGAACAGCCCCAACTTTCTCAGCCTATCTTCATACGGGAGGTGCTCCAGTCCCCTGATCATCCTCATGGCCCTTCTCTGGACTTGTTCCAACAGTTCCATGTCCTTTTTATGTTGAGGACACCAGAACTGCACACAAACTCCAAGGGAGGTCTCACGAGAGCAGAGTAGAGGGGCAGGATCACCTCCTTTGACCTGCTGGTCACGCTCCTTTTGATGCACTCCTTTCATCTCCTCTGTCCCAGACCTGAATTCTGAATGCACCTGCTGCGAGGTGTTGCATCTCACCAACCCTCAAGGCTTGGTCCCAACATGTTCATTTATGTCTGCTACCAGGGTAGGCTATCTCTCTAAGCCACCGTGAAGGAGAGTCAAAGCTCCTTCCAGGAGGCATTGTGGCTTGTCTGAAAACACAAGTTGCTATTATCAGCCTTGTTTTGTTTCCTGAGAAGCAGACAAAAAAATTTCACGTTCCAGGCACTTAGCCTCAGCACAACACTCCCATTCCCATCCTTGGTTAAGCTTTGCCTACTGTTTATATGATGCTTTGACCAGCATAGGTAACTTTTTTATCTGACCCCGTGAAGCAACATTGCTTCAGAGGAAGCCTCAGAACTGAGCTGGACTTTCTCTCTGTTACTTTCTGGCTTAGAGAGGGCTGTCATATCCTCAGCTAGTAGATACGGACTATAAAAAGGTTGCTGAGGGTTGCTTTTGGTGGCATTTGGCCACTACAGCCTTTCCTTGTCCTCCTGGCTGAATATGAACAGGTCTTAAGAAGAAAAGTAAGGGGAACTGTTCAGTGTAGGAGAAACAATAGTCCCCCTTTAAAAATTCACAGGGTGTTGCAAATTACTTAGCTGAATTTACTTTGCAAGCATTTTATCCGAGTCTGTTTTTAAGCCCAGGAAATGATTCCTTCAGATAGGCCAAAAGATGGCAGAACAATTAATTTTCTGCTTACAACACACAATGTGACCCAAATAATTTCCTTTTGTCATATCCTACCACACCCTGAATGATGTATCTTAGGGAGGCTGGACTGCCTGGTGCAGGTCACTATGTAAGATTTCCTGAGTATTTGTGCTTGGTTTCTGTACAATCACAGATCAGTGGTAAACAGCTGCAGAAAGTGAGAGGGACGTGTACCACTAACACAGCTTTATGGCCATCATTAAAATATTGTTCACATATGCTTTCTTGCCAAATTTCCTTGCTTCTCAAATCAGATGTCACCAGCATTAGAAAACAGTTTGTCCACCACCACATACCACCAAAATAACAATCATGTTATGTTCCTATATCACTATGAATTGCCTAAACAAAGCAGAAAAATCATGATGTAAATTCAACCATGTGAAAATCTATAGCCTGGAAAGCCTAGGGATGGATAGGAATGACTGAGGCAGATGTATGGTGAAATCTGCACTTGCAAACAATGATCTCTTATCGTCTTTAAAACTCTATTTTAAAAGTATCTTTGAGCTTTCTCATATCCTAAATCTCTGTTTAGAGAATGACCAGTATGTCCTTATGCATCCAGGACTGACTGAAGCAGATTTTACTCTATATTCAACACTAAAAAGGAAATTAGAAACTTCCTGTCTGATAAATATAATGTAATTAAGAGCTAGCGGTCTGTTTGGTAATGCACAGCTTAGAGTAAGGATGGGTTTTCTCCAGAAGGGTTTATAATGTGTTTCCTCTCAGTACACAGCAAGTAGATGGGTTTTGGCCCCTTCTCAAACAGGAGTGGCAACTGCAAACAAACTCACAGTTGCCAGCCAACTTCCTGATTTGCCTTTAGAAATGAGGTAGGACTTCTCTGATTTCTCATAAAACTCATCTTCATGAAAGAACTTACCAGTATCCAAATGGTCAGAGGATGTGGATTGCAACTGTTATCACACAGAAAACAGGATTTCAACAAAAAAGCCCTTGAGAGTAAAACCGCAGTTAACAGCTTTTAACAAGTACAGAGTTCAAATTAATTGGTAGGATTGTTTAAAAAAATCAAGATGGTCACTGCATATCTAAATGAAGAGGCACCAGACTGCAGGCTCTGGCTCAGCTATTAGACAGATGCGCCTCTCCAAAACACCAGCAGTTGCAATGGAGGGGTTTTGCCGTGCAGCACTTACCTTGCCTGAGATGCTGCTCCTAATGCCTTCCACCAACCATTCTCATCAGGTGTCTCGCATCCTTGGTAAGGTTAACATGTCCCAGGGAAACCATGTCTGCCCACTGGCTCTTTAGGGAAGCCTTGATGGTAGGAATACATTTTGACTCCATCTCCTGTCTTACTTGTAAAAGACAGAAACCACAAATGTTTTTCTTCCGGTTTTAGTCATTTCCTCTCTGATTGGCAAACCTTGTTTTTGACAAGATCTCAGCTGTTCAGGCTGAGTGCTTGTACAATAAGAGAGACCATAGGGAGAGTTCAGTGATCATCTTGCAGGAAGCAAATTCAATGGAGGTATGCTGAATTGTAACTTCATTTTAATATGATTATTTACTTGGCAATTGCAATACTTGAAGATATTTCTAACCTTGTTTCAGTGCTAAAAAAAGAGCTTTGTAGCTCTGGAAAGTCAGATCATGGGCTTTGAACTTCCCATGCTGCAGCTCAGTGGTGCTGTGTGTGGTGAGATTGGTACTGACTCGTACAGTTCATCACCTCTGTGACTGTGGTCATGGGCAGTAAGAAATGTGCTTTAGGACACTCACTTTCATTATCACAAACAGCTAAGAAGCCAAGAGCCTGAGTTGCTTTTAAAAATGGATTTAAGGAATAGGGAGGGGGTGTCACAGACGGAGGTTTTCTTCCCACGCAGGTAGGGACTGGGAGTTGATGGAGGTTTGGGGTGCCCCCTTTCATCACTACGGAGCTGGGACAAGGCCTGGCCATTCATCTAAAACCACAAAGTGGGAAAGTACGATTAGGTATCTTACTCCTTTCTCCAATGGCAAAACTCCCATCAGTCATAAAGTAAAGAACATCTAATGGAGGAGGGAGTGTGAGGGAAACTCCTGTGTTGGACAAGGCATGACTACAGGTGTTTTGGTTGTCCTGACCACAGGTGCTAATTAGTAATTTCTACAGAAGGCTAATTAGTTGCACTTGAGCTTTTTCACCTCGGTGCACATGATTTCAGAGTGGGGAACTTGCTGAGGCCATTCCTAGGGGAAGGTAGTGCAGAAGGTAAATCTGCTCATTTCTGTGTGCCTCAAACTACAAAAAAAAGCTTTTCAATCTGTCCCCAGGTCTGTTCTGCCCCAAAAGGGATAAGTAATTAAAGCTGATTGACTGATCACCTTAAAAAGCAGCACTGATGACATTTTTCTGTTTATCTAAACTACCTCTTTGTTAGTCCTAGCCTTTTCTGCTCATAACACAGTTCATTAATTATTAATTTTAAATTAACCTGTGATGAAGCCTGCAATCAGGGCAGGTACTCAGGGAGAGGCAGATGTGCCACCCCAGTGTAAGCTGGAGGGTTCATAAAAGTGCTATATCTGATTAAGGCAGTGGACTGAAAACCAAAGAGCTTGAGACCCTTTTCACAGCTCTGTCATAAAGCGTGGCCTCCAATAAGATATTCTGGCACCCTTTTAATACCTTCTCGATCCTCTTCTTGGCAGTATCATCTGCAGAGTCCCTTTGCATCAGGATTGACTTTTGGCTTCTGTTTTTCTTGGTGCTATTAAAAAGTGCTTCCTCTTCCCCTGGCCTATACATTATATGGATTCATTTAAAGTGATCCTTAGTACAAACCTTGAGTAGTGACAGCAATAAAGAAAAAGGAGTTAGAGAGACTTGGTCCAAAGAAACACTAATTCCACTTCATGGGCATCTGCATTTGCATCAGTGTGTATTAGTGAGCTTTTGGGGACAGATTCCTTTAGTTTTCCTGAAAAATTTTCTTTTCAGACAGATCTGTGTTTCAGCTGTTGGGGTCTGATCCCACCAAACACTCCAGGAAGCCCTTTCCTCTTTCATTGGAAAAATATCTACTTTCAAGGAATCCCAAATGTAGAGATATTGAAACCTGGTACAGTCTACCTTGGGTCTCCCTCTCATTTCAATGCACTGAGTTCATTTCTCTTCTGAGGGAATGAAGCTGTCTTGAAGTTTTTGAGATATCAAAGAATAAAATCATCCACTGAAATTCAGCTGGGCTAGTGTCAAAATTATGTGAAATGATAAGTCTCACTGGGCTTAGGAGGGAGGCTATAATAATTGCTCAGAATTGTGGTCCGGGCATTAGAGATTTGCTGGAAGATTCATGGCCCAGAAGGAGCCTTTTAAAGTAAATCTGGTCCCACATCTGGTTTGACATTGCACTCTGAAAATAAGTACTATTTAAAGAGGTTTGTTTCTTGCCAGGAAGGCTGTAGCACAAAGGACTTGGTATGTTTTTCACTCAGTGGAAACAGAATAGCTCAGGCTTCTGTTGGTTTGGATGCTGACTAAAGTGGTGGCTTGAAGAGGAAAGGCAACAGTGGCTGCCGGGTGTTTTTCACAAAACTGAAAATACATATCTAAGTACTCATGTTGAGTGACACGCTGCTGGATTATGGAAGAGTAAGCAGAGTCCTTTCTGATGCATCTCAGTGCCAGGGTGGATTAAACACAGGAGCAGTTTGTATGGAACAGTGCAGACAGTGCACAGCAGTCCTGGCTTGACGGGGCTGCTGCTATGCTTAGCATAGCTGGGACCAGTGAGGAGGGAAAGTATAGCACAAGCCAAGCCATTGCAACTGGCCAGATAGATCCATTTCAGTTATGCTCAGGGTCCTGATGCATGTCCCACCTTTGGGACGTTTGCAGTCAAACGAAATAATAAAAATAAGTTACTGTAAAAAGAGTGACTGAGATCAGCTTCATAATTTGTAGTCAGTTTCACTTTAAATTCCCTTTTTACTGCTTTCTAACTCAAAGCTTCTGAGGCATGACTTTCTCTCAGGGCAGATAGATTATTGCACTAAAATTTTTCTGTGATACTTTATCTGTGCTAAGGTTAGATTGCTCAATATGCTCTTAAGTAAAAAAACCCAAGGTCTATCTTTAGCTACCCTAAAATAATGAAGTGCGTAACTAGCATTGCATGAGCAAGAGCTTATTACACTGTTTCGGTATTTTTTAGTGTAGTAGGAAGAGGGCAGAGCAATAGAGAATATCTGGGAGTAAAGAGCTTGTCCTGTTTCTTGGTACTATGAAAAGCAGCCAAGGCTGGCCCTGAGGCAACAGCAAACCTGACTCCACAGATGACTGAGTGCAGAGTCTGATTTGTGTATGTTGTTCTGGCAAGACAGGAGTGAGGAGGGTGGGTGAGAGTCCTGTTTTGGGGGAAGCATCACAGAAGAGTGTGTGCACAGTAGAGAAAATGGGAAAAACATAGATGTGACACATGTTATGGTCTGTGGGTTGGTGACGGCTGGGAGGTGCTCATGGGCAAAGATTTGTTTTGGTGGAACATCCTACATCTCTCCAGAGCTACATTTCTTGGCCAAAGCGGTGTAGGTGCTAAGCTTTAAGGGAAAGAACTGGTGGGGCAGCCTGAACGTGCGATCTCCATGCTTGTTTTTCTTACACATAGAAAGGAAGGATGTGAGTACACTAGCTGTGTACTGGTTGATTGTAAGGTCACCCTGAGTCACTAGCATGACCTGCTCTTAAAGAAAAGTGGTCTCAACATGAATTGCCACTGAGGGCATAGAAATGTCAATGCTATATCATAATATAGCAACAAGATGTCATCTAGAAGACTAGTCACCTACTTCCAAGAAAAATTAATTCATACTGGGGTAGATCCAGAGATCAGTGTTCGGTTCATTATGTACATGATCAGGAGTTGATTTTTTGTTAGGAAAAGGTACTAAAAAGCCTGATGGTTTGTTTAGCTTAGCAAAACAAAAGCTTCAAACTGCTGTATATAAATACTTCAAAAAATACAGACCAGAAAAAGAGCTGTTTACTCCAGAGAGCTCTGACACAAGAACAGATGAACTCAAGTGTTCATGCCAGCCCTGAATGGAGACCTCTACCCTTGGGAGAAGCAAAGAAGGAGTATTAGTGTGATAAAACCAAGCCTCATTTGAAGGTACAGATGGAAAGGTGTTGTATGACCTGGGATAGGGAAGCCCTTTCACCTTTTTTTTGGTCGTGCGAACAGAAACTTTTTAGCTGGTGAGCAGTTTAACATGGGAAGTATATAAGGCCTTCCCTCATGTTTCTAGTGCCTTGTGCTTGCAGTTTTGTGTTCCTGTGCAAAGAGCTGTAGAGTGCCATTGTTCTGACTTACGTTTGCTTAGGGTTTATTTGGACAAGGGTAAAAGCCTGCATTGAGACTGAGCTATTTTTTCATATGGAGACCAGTTGTGAAGAAATGGAGAACTTCAGTGAAAGGCTGAAGAATGTGTGAGGGCACTTGCAGCAGTTCTGTGGGTTGCGTGTCTTGTTAGTCTTTGCTGTTTATTACTCTGCTGTTTAAAATTAATGGGAGCTGTATGTATCTTGTAAATGAACATATAGGATCATTTCCAAAGTCTCTATCCATTTATTTCTCTCCCAAGTAAAAACTAATGAGATCTGCAGAAAATGTTCATTGTAAATAAACTCCCTGACAAATATTTGAATGTTTTTGTTTTATAAGTTAGTTGTAAATATTTTTGTCATCGTTCAATTTTTACCAGAAATAACTCAGTCCTGGAATTCACTCCCTGATAATATGTTGCATCTTCCTGGAATAGCTACATTCCAGAGGTCACATTCTGTGAATAGTTTTCCTAACTTAAATTACTAGCCAAATAGTCTGAAGGGTGCTATATGACTGCTATTGCGAAATCCAGCTTTCCTGGTAGCCATCTGCATTTAATCACTTCCAGGCAAAAAAGTTACGTGCAGTGCTTTTGGACTCAAGCTTTACTTTTGAGAGTGCATACCTGCAAGTATCTTCATTATTCATATTTTATGTTCGTGTGAAGGATGTTCATACCTCCCATTCCCATAAAACACAGTGGGATACTGCTAATAATGCCCATTCTTCAGTGTCAAGTTATACTTTGGCAATAGCTTCAATTATCACTGTGGTGCTATAAAGGAATGAGGATATACTTCTGGGCTTTGTTTAGAACAGAGCACTGCAGCATTGATGTATGTTCTCATTTCTGTAATGTAAGAACTTCCAGGCTTGGTAGAAGTTGGAAATCAACTGAGAGTCTGGAAACAGCTCAGGTAACAAATGGAGCAGTTATTTCTTAATTCAGACTAACGTTACTACTATCCTTAGTCGGGGACTTAATTAGCAGGAAGAAGGAT